TATCCTAACAGCAAGCGTTATCGGTGGAGTCTGGGGAGTCAACTGTACTTTTATTTTCTCCCGATGACACAAAGAGTGACTGGAGAAGTGAAGAGGACTGCGAGCGACACAATGACTGAAACAGCGAACATGAAAAGGATTTATTCAGGGAAGAAATGAAAGAATAAACGAACGGCGCTCGTTAACACGCCGAGAGGAGACCCCTCCAATCTGCCAAGCTCACCACAGACTGTAAATAAATGTGTCAGGTTGAGAGATGAAAGCTGCCTCATCCTCTCAGAGTCCTCTGAAGTGTGTTTTATCGAGCCTTTGAGAGCTGTAACCGTCTTTTTAGGGATTTAATGGATTCGTTAGATTTTAGCCTTTAGCGCTCCTTCAGGGAGCATCACTGTCAGTCTGCTGGAGCCTTACATGATGTTCACACAGCAAACACATCACAAATGATCCCAGAGATAATTATGAATGCATGTCCTGTGAACGCAGGCTGCAGGTCCACTCTGCGTCCACTCAGGAAGCAAACATCAATCAAAAATCATTCAGCGTCAGGAAAAAATGTGGCTGCATTTTTTTTTGAAAAGTAAACTAATTTAGGAGAGTTATGTAATATTTGAAAAAAAAAGTAATATTTTACCGGTAATCTAAAAATAAAAAAAACTCTAATATTTCATGACATTCAGAAACATGTAAAAACAAATGTGAAGAAAAAACTGGATACTTTTCCAAGAAAAACCAAAATCTGGCGTGGAGTCACCCGTCGTCCTACAGCATCGCTCAGATTTCACTGATCGGGTTTGTGCTCACACGCCGCCAAATGCTCTGAAGGATGTTTCAGAACAATTAATAATGTTATAAACTTTTAAAATACAGTGGTCCCTCGCTATAACGCGGTTCACCTTTTGTGGCCTAGCCCATTGTCAATCAATCTCGCGCCGTGTCTCCTGTGCAGTACAGAATGCGTTCAGCTTGTCAAGTTTACGTAAATCTTTCATCTCTACAGTGTGACTCTGAAGTGCTGCACTGCATGTTTGTAAGTTTTCTCCCAAGCAAACACAACACTGTCGACGAAACGCTTTGCACCGTCAGAGGCTCCTGTGGTAGGAAGATGCTAACCATCGCACAAACAGTTGGACTTCTGGACATGCTAAAGCAGTGGTTCCCAAACTTTTTTTGCTGCCTTTGTTTTATAAGAAAAATGCGCGCACGCACACGTCCTCCACCCACACACGCCCATATTTTGCTCCATTGCGGTTTATTTCACACCTCAAACATTTAGTAAACAGTTAAGCAAATACAAGTAAACTGCAGGTAGTAATAAATAAACTACTAACTCTTTTACGCTGCCTACACGGGTATTTTTGAACACGCAGCTGTTTCGTCCACGACTTTTAAAACTCCTTTTTTTGCGTTTACGTGTGGACGAGGAATGCAGAGTTGGTCACGCAGCGTCAAAGCTACGTGCCTTTTTCACGCCACGCTGTGGCCACGTTATTGTTTACAGGAGATGAATCACAGAATGATAGAGACGAAATACTGTTAATCTGACTGTCTGCAGGTTTACACGCAGTTACTGTCCCTCCATTACAAAGGCTGAGGCGTCACGCTGTCATTATTTTACGTGTAGTTGTTTTTTCCTGTGTAATAATGTTCAACATTGCTGTCAGTACATTTTTCAAAAATGCCTCTCTGTGGTTAAAAATATAAACAACTGTGGGATCCTGTTTGTCCGTGATTTAAACAGCCCAGCGCTGCTCCCGACGCAGGGAAGACCTGCAGGGAGACCTGGCTCAGCACCTGTGCAGGTGAAGCCAAAGGGCAGATTTGCTTCACCATATTTTCTAGTCTTTGGCTTAGAATGAAGTTGGTTTGGAAACATATTCAGCGATGCTTCATCTCCTGCTTTGCGTTTGTGTGGGCGCCGTGCTAGCAGTGTCCAAGCGTTGTTTTTTATTTTTCCCCTTTTCTTACCCCCCCCTTGCAATGGCTCTGTGCCCCCCCTTGGGGGCGGGCCCCACACTTTGGGAAGGTCTGTGCTAAAGGCAGAAGTTACCATATTTTTTGGATTATAAGGTGCATTAAGGAAACAAAACAGTCAGATAAGTCAAACTTTACTCATCTCATTCTTCTTGCTTTGTCTACTTCCGCACCATTGATTCGTTACTGTTGAATTCTTTGGCAGCTGATTTGATCTTTGGTTTCATTCGATAACACTGGACTTATTTTTCTACGAAGGTTTAAACTTTGAGAGCGTTTAAACAAGAGAGAAGAGTGTGAAAATGTTCATGCCTGTGTGGGAAAGTGCATAAAGTGTGTGGTGAGGGGTTTCACAGCCTTAAAACATCTATAATAATTGTAAAAAATAAAGTTGGCTACTTCGTGGATTTCACCTATCGCTAGTTATTTTTAGAACGTAACTCCCGCGATAAACGAGGGAGCGCTGTATGTCAAAGCAGTAGAAATATTTTGTGCTGAGAACTCGGTGTAAAGATTCTGTCTGACGGGGATGTCAGAGCTAAAAGTTTTCTGTGAATGTTGATGAGTTTGTGTTGTTGTTGTTTGGCAGAGCGAGGAGGACGACACGAGGAGCGTCACAACGTCCTCCGTCATGGTGAGACACAAAGAGCCTTGGCTGTGTGTGTGTGTGTGTGTGTGTGTGTGTGTGTGTGTGTGTGTGTGTGTGTGTGTGAAAGAGCTGAAACAGACCCTCCCCCCAATGCCGTTCCCATGGTGATGTCCCATAATGACACAGCGCTGGCTGCTCATTGGCTGTGATGGCTTCCTGCTGCTGTCTGACTGGACCCAGCAGGAACTGTCCGCCTGTTACTGGGCTGTAAGTTTGCAGAGCGACAGTTTCGTTATTGATTCGTGTCCAGATCGCGGAGTCTGATCGATGTTTGTGGCTTCAGTTTGTTCAGGCTCCGGCTTGGATTAATCAGCGTCTGCTGCGACACCAGTTATACTTTACTGACCGAGGTAAAGTCCAGCCTCTCGTCAGTCCAACACGAGCTCCAAATCAGACCAAACCAGACTAAACTACTATCTGGTGTCCATGAGTGTACAGCTCTCGGTTGGTTTCTGAGTCTCAGCCCTTCGGACGCCTACGCCAAGCTGAGGGCAGGTTTCCTCTGCAGCTGACTGAAAACACGTCTCTGTGCTGGAAACAAGTTTTAAACGTGCACTGAGCTGGACGTGTTTTCTTCCTGCTGCATCAGGGTCGACTGCGAGCCGTTAGCCGTGTTGCTCGCCGCCACGGCGTGCCATCAAGCTGAAGGACGGCCTCCCTCTGTGCCCGCCCAGGCTGTGTAATTAACACGGAGCTATCAGGTAAACAGTGAGGACAGCCCGGCAGGCCTCTGATTAAAGGCCTGGGTGGTGCTTCGCAGCACCCTGCTGGCCAATAAACACCAGTAATGGCGTCAGGATCCCCGCTCGCCCGCCGCCCAGCAGCCCCCGCCTTGGCTAGAGGACAATGAGGACGCCAGTTTATGACAGAAAATCAAGACACTAGAGGAAATGTTACAAAATCAGTTTTTAGCATCAAACTGAAAGTTTGGAAGAAAACACGTTCACCTCGCTCAACAGTTCCAAATGTCAGGGGGCGGAGACAGCCTGGGCTTCGTCGCTTCTTCATTGGTGTTCGGTTATAGTTTAAATACAGATGGAGGTCACCTTCCTCTCCTTTCCTCTCCCTCCCCTTCCTCCCCCAGTCTCTGTTCCACAGGGTTTCTCTGGATCCTCTGGAGAAGGAGTGGCTGAAGAGCTGTGCCGTGGGGAACGTGGCCACCCAGCGCCGGCTGCTCGCTCAGGAGCCCGGGCTCGTGCTAAAGAAGGTCCGCTTCAGACCTAGTGCTCCTGTGCGGTGCTCTGATGCAGAAGGTGTCATTTAGTGATCAGTAGCTGCTGGATTAAAGCCATCAGTGTTTGTTACACACACAGCGATGCTTGAATAGAGTCTGGTGCATTAGCTGGAGCGCGTGCAGTAGGACTTATAGGCGGAGATAGTGAGCACGCCGCTATTCTGATTCATCCTCTAAACACTTGAACTCTTTCCTTTTTCCTTTCCTCTTTTCTCACCTCGTCAGGATTTCATCACTGTAAGTAAAACATTTGCTTACCTGCTCACAGGTCATATTTTCATAGGATGACTGAATTATTTCTGTTTCACACGTGCAGCTCAAAGAGCTTCATGGAGGAGGATTAGAGAACAGAAAGGTCACACGGGCCGGTCTCCCATGGAAATATGTGCATTCACCAACCAGCTGGTGGGTGGTAGCTGGTGTCAGTGGGTGGAACCTGTCACAGAGAGGTTGACCATGCTGCACTGAAAGCCTGTTGCCCGTATCTGTATAGAAGATGCTGGCTTGTCTGCTCGAAGTATAGCATAGCATCTTTATTTATAAGGGTTAGGGGTGCTACAAATATAGAAGAAAGAGAAAACAGTTTAAATTCCATATAGAATATCTTAAAATTAAAAATAATGTAATTAATAAGAAACATATTAAGAGACGAGTCCTGCTGTGCTGAAAGCCAAGGTAAATAAATATGTTTTAAGACGTGATTTAAAAACAGATAAGGAAGGTCCTGTCTAACATGGAAAGGCAACTCATTCCACAGTTTTGGTGCTGCCACAGCAAACGCCCGACTCCCTCTGAGCTCACGATTAGTCCTGGGCACGCTCAGGAGGAGCTGGTCTGCCCACCTGAGGGGCCGGGAGGGTATGTGTGGATGAAGAGCTCAGAGAGGTACAGAGGGGCAGCATTGGACAGACATTTAAAAACAAATAAAAGCAGCTTAAAATGATCCTAAAATGCACGGGCAGCCAATGAAGTGAATATAAAACTGGGTGATATGCTCGCATCTACGAGTGCCAGTCAAAAGACGTGCAGCAGCATTCTGAGCTAGCTGCAGTCGAAGAACAGAAGATCGACTCACCCCATAATGAAGAGAATTACAGTTGCCTTCACAATAAGAACTGCACCTTCGGAAATGTTTTGGTTGCAGTGTAAAAACACAACCGTTTACGGTGGTGCAACACCGTCTTTGTGACTGATTTCATCTGGTGACAGCCAGCAACAGCAGCCACTGATCTGGTGACACGGTTTTCTCCAGCGACCGGAGGTTTCCAGAGAATCACCGACTGGTCTCTGTCTGACTGAGTTTTCTTTTACTACATCTCGCCAAAAACAAGTGAAAACCAACAATTAAACATCAAAACCTGCAGGTCCTCTGATGCCCAGCAGAGGCAGCAGTGAGTCCTCACAGGCAGCTTCCTGCTAAGCTTCGCCTCAGCTCATTGGAGACCATGAACTGACCTCTGGACCCAAACTTTCAAAGCTCCCAGTCTGCCTCCTAACTTTGTTGTGTTGTTTTGGACAGGAACCGCCTTTAATCTGAGGCTCTCTACTGGAAGCAGGAAGTAGGTGTGGCTTTACTTTTGCAGACAGTAATAATTGGTTCATTTAATAATAAGTGTTCCTCTGGTTCCATGCTGCAGCCTGCCGCTCCACCTGAGCTCTGCCGTCACCACGCTGTCAGCAAACGTCGATAAATGGCTTCAGAGCCGGACGCTTTCACAAAATAATTGGCTTAAGGAAATTAAATGTTCAAAGAGCAACAAAGATGTTAGTAATCTGCTTATTGAAAAGAAAGAAAGGGGAGTGCAGCTGAATGAATGGAGGGGGGGTAATGATCCTATTAGTTTGGATAAGAAGCTGCTGAGAGTCAGGCAGCAGGTGAGGACGAGGATCAGATAAACAGAAGACTGAGGACGGAGGCTTCATGGTTACTGTCTGGACCGTCCTGAGTAAACTACGCTGACGTGTGAGAAGAGCTGTAATCATTTTCATGAATAAAGCTGAGCTTATAACAGCTTCACTTAAGCTAACCGAGGAGTCACACTGTAGATTTTTACACAGAAAAAATGATTTTGTTCAATGAAACCTGATCCATGAAGTGTTTAACATACACTGTGGTTATATTCACACTTACATCAATTCTCTTTATGCAGGCGAAACACGTTTGTACCTACAAACTCTTTAATTCTAGTACAAAATGTTTTATAGCAGACTGCCTGCATTCACAAGGTCAGGTAAAAAGCTCTGAACGGTGGAGAAAATGCTCCAAAATAAATAAAAATTCATATAAACGCACAAATGATAACAAAATGAAGCTAGCATGTGGAACCACGGGTAAAACATCCATCCAGCACAGAGGCTTGGGTGGGACCAACATACGTGGATTTAGGCCCAGAGACCGGTCAGCGACCACATGGTAACCTCCAGTTGCTAGGGAAAAATGTGCCCTGGGGAGTGGTTGCTGCAGAACACCTACCTGTTATTGCACCCACTTGTAGTTTGCATGAATTGTCATTTTTGTTTTTGAGCTGTGCTGAAAATAGAAAAAGTGTAATGCAAACTGAAACACAGAAGGTTCACCTTTAAAATAAAACTTTACCATCTCACCACCAAAACCAGGAGTGAAGGGAGGACAGGACAAAGGCACGCTGTGCAGCCAGAGATTAATAATAACTAATGATTAAATGCAGAGAGGTGTGTAAACACAAAGTGACTGACAGGTTTTATTGGCTTTATCTGAATTAAGAAGCAGAAAGTTAGCAGCCATCCAGGTCTTTATGTCTTTAAGACATTCCTGCAGTTTAACTCATTGGTGTGTGTTATCTGGCTTCATGGACAGATAGAGCTGGGTGTCATCTGCATAGCAGTGTAAATGTATGCTATGTCTTCTAATGATGCTGCCTAAGGGAAGCATGTATAATGTAAACAGAATTGGTCCTAGCACTGAACCCTGTGGAACTCCATCATTAACCTCAGTGTGTGAAGAGGACTCTCCATTTACATGCACAAACTGGAGTCTATTAGATAGATATGATACAAACTACTGCAGTGCAGTAATAAATATAGCAGCACTTCGACTCTTGAATGAGTGAAAGGTTATGACCAATAAATCAATCGACGGGATGTGTTTGTTCCACGTTAGTTTGGACAGTAGTTTAGCAGCCAGCAGCTTTTGTCCCTCCTGTTTTCAGTCCTGCTCTCAGGCTGTTTCACTGTGAATTCATCGGCTTCTGTGTTCTGACTCTTTCCGGCTGCCGCTGACGGCCTCCTGTGATGCAAACCTGCCGTACATGAAGGGGGTGAGTTTGGCTTCGTTAACATGAATCATCTGAACACAACAGAACACCTCTGCCTTCTGCCTCAATTAGCTGAGCGCCTATATCACAGAGAGCAGCTCCCTCACCTCCTGTCTCCCGTCACCACGGCGAGTTTAAACAAGTCGGACGTTCACGCGAGCAGAGGGCGGGGTTATTGTAAAATTCAGTTCATGTAAACTGGCCTCACTCAGACGTCCTGTGTGTTTGTTTGAAACACCTGCAGAAATGCAGCACTGCGCTGCGAGCCGTGCAGCCCTCTCTTCAAAGAGGCTGACAGCTCTGACAGCCTGCCATCAGGTTAATCACAGCAACATGGACGGATTACCGAACACGACGTGCACAGAGACGCCGAACCACCGCACAGAGACTAAACCCTGCCGAAAGCTAAGAAGCACAAATACAAAGAAACGCAAAACAACGACAAAGAGACAGAAACGGACACAAATATGGAAAAAAAAAATTAAAAGTCAGAGATTTTATCAAACTGATAAAATGAAGAAACGCAGCAACAACACGGCCTTATCGCATGTGCGTCTTCCTGTCTGTGGTCAGCTCGTTGAGCTGTTTTGTGTCTCGGGGTCTGGAGATTTCGGGGGGCTCAAACACGCCGGCGCCGACTGGCCTTCCGCTGCGCGCCTTGGACGCCGCATCGGGATGGCGGGTCCACGCTCATTAGGCCTGCGTGCGATTGGAGCGGCCCAGCAGCCAGACAGCGGGCGTGTGTAATGATATTGTAATTACATGGTAATTAATATCTGAGCAGACAGCGAGCCTGAAGGGAGGCGGCTCGGCTCCCAGCAGATGGGAGGGACTGATAATTTCTCCACAGCCATTCGCCGGAGCCTCTGTACTTTTATTTGGTGGCGGTTTGATTTCACGGTGCTGAGCGGAGGATCTCGGGAACGGCGAGATTGTCCTTGTTTGTGAGCGGCGCTCCTGCATCGATCTGTGGTTTCCTTTCTTCTCCTGCAGCTCTTTGAGACCCCGTCCCAGCATATGTTCCTCACATTCATTGTTAAGTCAAAGTGTGACTCCACAGCCAATAAAGAGCCGGCTTTTCAGAGCGCCACATATGGCAGAGCTGTTGCAGGCTGTCTTTGAAAACTCTACACAAGCAGAATTTCACACAGCTCTAAGCTGCCTATTCAAGAGCTCCGGCAAAGGGACCCCTCCATATGGCCTCGCCTAATGTGCCCCCCCTTCCATTAGCTGCACAGACCTCCCCGTGCAGAAATAACAACATTAATGGCGTAGCCCTCTCGCCACTTGACAGCGTTGCTCTCCTTTTCATGCCTCGCTTGATCAAAACGGAAGGAGTGAAGCTGACGCCTTTCTGATGTGCTTTTTGCCTGCTGCTTCCAGGCGAGCGGCGCTAACTCATCCCGCGCGTCCCTCCTCCACCTCCAAAGGGCCGACAGATGCTCGGCACACCGAGCCCGACTGTTGGCAGGCAGTCGGCGGTTTGTGCCGGGTCACTGTCGGTGCTACCCCCGGATCTGTGCGAAGACAACGGCTGTGAGCGTCTCTCGGAGGCCCGAGTGTCCCGCTGAGGCGGACAGGTGTCTGTCATGTTTGCAAATGTGTAACACGGAGCTTTTGTGGCTCGTTGAGTTGGCCCGTGTTCTAGTTGGCTCGTTAACCATTTAAAGGAACAGAAAATCCCTGCACTGTGCACGATCCAGAGATCCTGCATTCAGACAGCCTGCAGGTCTCTCAGTCTGCTGGTGTTTGTGAGAATGTGTCCTTGCTTCTGTAGTAGACTCTAAATCAAAGATGTCAGAAAAAACTCATTCAAACTAACAGATTCTGGACTCTAATTCAAGCTGATCGTTATTCAGATGCATCAGTGCTTTCTACTCGTCCGGATCAGTTTGACTCTTTTCAGCCTATGGCTCGTCAGAGCATTGCCGTAAATGCAGAATAATCTGCTCTGAGAAGAAAAGCATTCGATGTTTGAGTTTGGAAAAGTAAGTTTTGCCTCTGATTGACTCGAGGAAATGAATAAATGTGTCCTCTGCAGTCTTGAACACCTGCCTGTGTGAGGCTGAGGTGGAGGCACGAACAATCTGGTCGAGTGTTGGAAGAGGCCGGCGGGTGAGGCCGGCTTCAGTTAGCACCTTTTAATGAAAACTCTGGGCTTAGTGGTCAGTCTGCACCTCGCCGCCACCACGGGCACGCTGCCAAAATAAACCTCCATGAAGCATCCTGTGGACATTGACAGGTTTTTCCCCTCCTGTTCCTGTGATGGCGGCGCCCCGCTCGGTTTTCACGCTCACGGTTGTTGGCTGAATGAGGAACATCAGTGCGGCATAATTAAATGGGCGGAAAACAGCAGAAAACGATGTTCAGGCTGTTTAATCCAGTTTAGAGCAGCACCACGAGGGAAGGGGTCCAAATAACAGGACCAGGAGGAGGGGCTTCTGATGAAGCAGTGTGAGGAGGAAACGCAGCATCTTACCAAGGACTCGCATCAGGACGACTTTAACATCCATCAGAATGAGTCATGAATCAAATGTTTGCTGTATTAAAGCAAAACGAGCTTCGATCCTCCCTCCGGATGCACGGAGGACTGATGAGTTGTGTGGGATTATATATCCACAGACATCAAAAACCACTGCAAGTAGTTAAAGAAGGGCAAGAAACTCCATTTTTTTAAAAAAACAGAAAATGACCATGATTCCTCCTACAGTCACTTTAATATTAGGATTACAGTCTGATATTTGAAACAAGCCCTTCATTCTCCCACTAAGTTTAACGTTTTCTGTTTTCTCCTCTTCCACTCACTCGGACACACAGTTTGTAAGTCCATCTTTGTGTCTCTGTGTGCAGTGTTTGTGCCGTAGTGTTAGCACAGCTGCCAATGAGAACTTTACACACAAAGAAAAATAATATACTCTGAAAAGTGGATCTGCTGCTTTCAGCTCCACATTATTATTCCTGGACTTCACCAGAGTAGTTTTCCATGATTCACGATTCAAAATAATATCTGACAACACTGGGCCTCAGTGCAGCCCCTCAGTGCACCCTCTCTCTGAAACTAGCTGTTTAGCTTCTCCCCTTCAACCAGCTCTCTTAGGATTAGCTAGGTTCCGAAGCCTGCTGAGGGGCAGCACCCAGTGCTTAAAATTAGAACTAAACATTGTAAACTTAAAAATGTGGAGAAGAAGAGTCAGTCCACTTTGATGGTTATTGTAGAGCTCTTATTGTCTTCTTCCCAGAGTATCAGATACTGCTGTTCTGTCAAAGGTCATCATGAGCAAGTTCAGACATGTGCAGGAAGTCTTTCTTTCTGATGGACTGGTGACCCATCCAGAGTGTACCCACTCCCATACCGGAAAAGATGGATGGAAGGACGGACAGACTGACGGATGGATGAATGGTTGAATGGATAGACAGATGGGCGGATGGATGGATGGATGGATGGATGGATGGTTGAATGGATAGATGGATGGATGGATGAATGGTTGAATGGATAGATGGATGGATGGATGAATGGTTGAATGGATAGACAGATGGGCGGATGGATGGATGGATGGAT